TTAGTTCTTAGTAAGCCCAACAAAAAAAATTAAGAATTTCATCCTCTAATATGAAATCTAGGATTAAGCACTGACAAACAAAGCACTTTTCAACTTACCGAGTCACATGTCTAGGAAGATTACACTAGTAAAACCTAGATTGTAGTAGGAACAGTGTCTTGTCACGCCTAACATGTCTTGTTATACTACCTGAATATAAGTCTGTGATCAATCATATGCAAAAAAAGTGGTTGAGCTTGAAGTGATATCTATGGTGAATAAAGTATTTCCTACACAATTGCTTGCGCTTGAAGTGATATCTATGGTGAATAAAGTATTTCCTTTGTGGATTGTTTGCTTGTGTTGCTTCCATGGTTCAAAGAAGTCCTTGACGATGTAGTAAAACTATTTTATGATTCAAAGCAAATAATTTGTGTATGCAAGGTAGTGAGAAAGAGCTACCATTTGACTAAGAGCATTGAGTACCAGCTTTATGTTTGATTACAAAAAAAAAATTTAGTGTGAAAGAACCCATCGAGCGTTCATCCGATTATGGATTTGTGGGAGCTTAAGAATTGAAAGTTTGATGATCACTATAAAAGAACAAATTCATAAGAAGATAATGTTACCACAAATTTAAAAGCACAGACTATTACATATGACTCTTGTTAGTATGCACACCATTTTTTGTATCATTGTTCTCAGGTTCTCATTGAAATGCTCAATGGGACGGTTTTCTTGAGCTAGGCCTACTCTAATGCCAATAGAGGAAGCATTGGTATTAACCTAAAACGACTTATCAAAATTGGGTAATGTTAGATGAAGGAATATTTTTAGGATATCAAAGTTATTTTGTTGTTCATTAGCATAGTGAAATGACTTAGATTTCAAGAAGTCAGCAATCTAATGATGCTAAACCCATTAATAAATCGACTATAAAAATTAACCAAATTCAATGAGGCTGTTATGAAGGAATATTTTTGGGATATTAAAGTTATTTTGCTGTTCATTAGCATAGTGAAATGACTTGGATTTCAAGAAGTCAGCATTCTAATGATGCTGAACCCATTAATAAATCGACTATAAAAATTAACCAAATTATGAAAATTATGGATGTCAGAAAAGGATGTTGGCGTAGACCACTCTTGAATTGCTACCACCTTTCCATGATCCATTTGAATTCCTTCAACCAAAATGATAATTCCTATAAAATGAACTTTGCACATAGCACATTCCCATTTTAGGAAATTAAGGTAGAGTTTATAGAAGCAAATGGTCATGAAGATTTTACTGAGATGTTGTAAATATTTATCACACTATAAATTAAAATATCGTCAAAATAAACTGCACAAAATGTGCCCAAAAATGGTTTGACATGCTCAAGGTATTCACTAAGTCGATAGCAATGCTCAGTGTATTCACTTATTGATTGATCTCCTCATGAACGAAGTTGAAATTAAATATACAACATTAGCTCAAAATATGTTGGCAGGGAGCCTTATCAGATTAATCTCTTCATTTTACACCAGCTCCTCATGTTGGCTTTTCCCTCCCGCCAAGAAAGATGTTGTAGTTATCCCAACCATGAACCCGCTGCCCCTTTGAGCCGTCACACTACATATTTTACTTGTTTCTTTTTTCACAAGGATTTATATGTATCCGACGAAGGTTTTAATTTTCAGTTCCCAATCAAGATAATTTTCAATGTGCAAATGATCATCGAAAAAGAGAATGTCCATTTTAACACGAAATTTATTGCAATTTTGTTCATGGTGTTCAAACATGTGATTGGCCCAAACATCTATTTGAGTGAATTCAACATCGTCGGAGTTTGAGACATCAATACCTGATCTCCTTCACACGTTCAGATTCAGTAATTATAACATGGCCTCTTGAAACGCACTGAGCAATCCTAGTGTCCAATAAATCTTCACGACTGTAACAACTTGTGGTCCATCCTGCAGGTTTGGGCCGGATTAAGAGAGCCGACATTTTTTAGGCATTGTATCTACCTTCACATATTCAGGTTAAATCTTAAGAACTCGGCTGTGAATGAATTCATCCAAATGTTGTGTGGTATTGGCTTGTGCCATCTTTGATCACCTTCGATGTTTGGCTGTCTGCTGCCTTCCCTTATAGGTCTCATACTAATATGACGTGGGAGCCTATAGGGAATGAGCAAACAGAGAACAAAAGGTAAAAAACAGAGAGTTTCCATCTCTATAGTTTATCCTGAAGTAACACCTTATATATCTCAACGGCACCTCACAAATAAGAAAAATAAATAAAATCTTAACTAGCTTGAAAGCAAACACAGCTTTATACTAAACGAAAAGTAAAATACTAAAGGAAGAGAAAAACAAAAATAAGAATGATTGTTATAACGTCTTGCTGAAAACTGATGTTATAATGTCCAGCATCATAATTCCCACCTAAATCCTACTTAAACGTGAAAACTAAAATTTCAATACCAAAACCAAAACACAAACAAAATTAGATTATTATCATTATTATTATTATTATTATTACTACTATTATTATTATTATTATTATTATTATTATTTTGTTTTTTGAAACAATCTAAAATCATATCTTCATGACTGAAGAATGTTACAGAATAAAAATCTCACAACTCATCTCATCAATTTTGAAACAATGAGAACGATCATGGCATAGATGAATTCAGAAACCTGCACACCTTAGCCTCTCCATAAACAAGCCCAGATTTGCAAAAATACCCATTGCTCGGACTGCAGTGCATATCTTTCGAACATATACACAACCCTTCTAAAGCACAACCATCAGTCTTTCCAGCTCTCATCCCCAAAAGTACTTCATCCGACCACTCACTACTAAACATGCCTGTAGGATCCAACATCTGCTTCACCGCATTAAACTTTCTCATTTGATCGGGATACTTCTCCTGCACACCAAAGAAAGCAACTTTTCTATTCTTCCCCCAATGCGGCCTAGCGCCATGCTTGAAAAAAGCCATCTGCTCCACTTCTTCCCACACATCTTGGTTCAGCCTTGGAGTCAAAGCTTCGTCTGCTCTGTAATAGTTGAAATCGACGACAACAGAGTCCTCAGCCTGGCCAAGATACGCAGATGAAGCTTTGATGAATCTGATCAGGAAGCCATTGTAGATATCAACGCCGCAGAAGTTTTGTGGGTTGAGGTCTCTCAGTTTTTTGACATCGAGGACGAAGTTTCTGAAGTTTGATGCGGGAAAAATGGCGGTTGTTTCGTAGAAAAAAAGGCCCTTGATTCTGGGATCCCATGAGCACATGGCCAGTGGGTTTGATGATGAGGAATGGAGGCAGGAGCCGGAAGTTTGCATTTTGCTCTGGCTACCGATGACGGGATAGCCGGTAAAGATGAAGTTGTTGTTCTTTAGACCGATGGCGGCTAGTTTCTTAGCGGCAAGCACGGTGGCGGCCATGGCGCATTTGCCCTTCACGCTCTTTGATTCCTCGAGAGCTTTCTCTGCGTGACAATTATGGTTGTAGAAATGTAGGGTTAAACTTTCGTGCCCTTAATTATTTATTAATCAGATGAATAAAATTTGGACGAAGAAACTGTTACTGTAATTAGAACCCATTACCTGTAGCCCTCACAGCCATGGACGTGAGGGAGGGGTTTGCCTGAAAACCAATGAAGTCATTGACGCCGTCGCCGGAGGAGTTCCAGGGAGCTCTGTCGTCGAGTCTGTATACGGCCAGCCCCTGCGAAGGATACCAGTCGATGTCAAAGAACTCATGCTGCTTCGTCATCTCTTCAAACTCATCCAGAAGCTTCTCATCCGTTAAGTAGTCATATGTTATGCTTCTCTTAAATTTAGGCTCTAGCGAGAGAGTGACCTGTAGGTTTTTGTTTAACCTCAAATCAATGAGAAATTATGAGAACGGTATGAGTGAAATGAAAAAAGATCCTAGAAAGATTGAACATTTTCTTTTGCTTCAAGACTTTAAAATGACATGAAAAAATTATTAAGGATGAAAAGTGTTCGGAAAATTTTACGGTTATTCTGATCAGATTTTTGATAATGATGATTTTTAAAAGTATTAAGTTTATTCTAGGATGCATAAATAAATAGGTTTAAATAAATTTTCTGTTATATTCATGTCATAATAAATAAAAAAATATAAATTTATCATGAGTGTGTTTTTTTTTCTTTTTTTTTTTTTTTTTTTCTAGTGAGGATGTTTTCTCTCTCAAAAATAATGAAAAATAAGCCCATGCATGTAATTTTTATTCTATTAAAAAAAAGAAATTGTATTTCAATTAATTTTAATTTATTAATTTTGAACCCGAAATTGTCTGGCGGACACCAAATGAATAGAACGTCACGAGATGAGATAGGAAGAGAGAAAGAGCAATAACACTATATGAGATGGTAAGATTATGCACCCACTATTAATGGAGAGGACCTCCTATTTATATGAATGGATTAATACAAAATTACATGTTGTACCCCTCCAATACGTAGACATGGCAGGGGTATTTCAGCCCATGCGTAGATTTGGCCGATAGGGCCTAAAGGTATAATTGTGCGGCTGCGAGTCCAAGTGATTGCAATGTTGGGCAATTGCGAGTCCAGCCGGTTGCAAGCCTAAGCTGCTGCGTATTGAAGGCCTTTGTTATATGCCCTGGAGTCCTAGTGGTCCACTCTTCTCCGATCTATATGGCTGGCGATGAGATTATTCAGCTAAACGCGGTTAATTGGATCTCTCAAGATGATTTTTCTCACTGTTCATCTGAGGAGGACTGTTCTAGCTGTGTGGGAAGCTGGTTACTTTGAGCATGTGACGTCTTCTATTATTGTCGAGTTGTCTTTGTGATTCGTGTTGGCATGTCTTTGATCTACATATTAAAGTTTACCGATTTCATTGCTCCTTGATAGCGACAACTACAATAAAGACAAGAGAATCTAAAATTTGTAATGAATTTATGGTATTCATGGCCAAGATTTGGCCCGAAAAATAGAAAAGACTGAGAAGCATGCCGTTTTGGAGACGAATGCCCCTTGCCTTGTGGTGGAAGTCTGATCTTCCGACTCAAATACTAACCGCTCTACGGAGGGTTCTTTTTGGGGGGGAGGCAACTTTCCGGTAAGGAAAAGTTGTGTGCAGGGTAAGATGGAGGGAGTTGGCTACGGTTCGGACTTGTGAATCTATCCTTGAAGAAGAGGTGGCATCCTTGAAAGCGAAACTGGCCACTATGCGAGATGAAGTTTTGGTTTCTCACCTAAGCACTGAAACGAATATAATATAGAAGGTTAGGATGGAGGGAGAGTTCATGTTCAAGCGGTTGCCTCAGTGGGCTATGTCTCGGCTGAGGTGGCAGTAGATAACATCATGAAGTTTGTCCTTTTCGGCTGAACAATTATGAGAATAAATGTAAATTAGTTTTTTTTTTGCATTAAATGCGTGCAAGTATATTTTTTTATTCATATACATATATTAAAAATTTATCGTTAGTATGCGCGTCTAATTTAACACTTTTCTCTTGTTGTTATGTGACATATTTGTGTTATAAGTTTAAGAGAGAGACGTCTGAGTTCCCATGCTATCCTTCTTTCTTCTTTTCTAAAACTTGTTGCTTCTTATTCTCGTCATGCTATGGCCCCAAATATTCCTCTGAGGGCTTCAGTGTGTATTCTCCTGGTATGTTGTCAACCCTTTCAGAGAGGCAGACGACGGCAGGTTCACCTTCGGGCCAAATGTACAACTCAGGTCAGTTGGAGAGGGAATTAGCTACGGTTTGGGCTTGTGAAGCTATCCTTCAAGAAGAGGTAGCATCCTTGAAAGTGGAATTGGCCACCATGCGAGATGAAGTTTTGGTTTCTCATCTAAGCGCTGAAATGAATACAATATAGAAGGTTAGGATGGAGGGAGAGTTAATGTTCAAGCGGTTGCCTCGGTGGGCTATGTCCCGGCTGAGGTGGCAGCAGATAACATCGTAAAGTTTGTCCTTTTCGGCAAAAAAATTATTAGAATAAACGTAAAGTTGTTCTTTTTTTGCATTAAATATGTGCAAATATAAATTTTTATTCATATGCATGTATTGCAAATTTATTAGTTCGTTGGCATGAGCGTCTGATTTAACACTTTTCCCGTGTTGTGATGTGACAAAAGTACAGTATCACCCTTAGAGTGTTCTAGCTTCTCTTTTGTGTTATAAGTTTAAGAGATAGACATCTGAGTTCCCATGTTATCCTTCTTTCTTCTTTTCTTGACCTGCTGCTACTTATTCTCTTCATGCTATGGCTTCAAATATTCCTCTAAGTGCTTCGGTGTGTATTCTCCTGGTGTGTTGTCAACCCTTTCGGAGAGGCAGACGACGACTTTTTTTAGGTTCGCCTTCGGGCCAGATGTCCAACTCAAGTAAGCAGAGAGAAGAAAAGTAGGCAAGCGACTATGGTGATAACATGATCGTTTGCGTTGATCAACTCGCATATGGGTTGAAGCTGTCATTCTGTAGTGAGATGAGGTCCATCCTCAAAAGTTATGGTATCATTACCACACAAATTATGTCGAATTATATTATCACTACCATAACTTTCGTCATTTGCCTTTGGCGGATTGAAATCCAATGGTCGATCGAATTTTTCTCATAATTCTTCAACTTCAAGTTTGATCAGGAAGGATGCGGTATTTTCGTCTGGTCCCAAGCTCTAGGTGGTGGGCGTTGAGAATAAGGTGAAGGACTTGCGGTCCAAATTCATGATTGCTACATGTCGTTGAGGTTGGGGAATCCATCTTTGACCCATCACTATAGAGGTACAGAGGCCAAGAATTTTACCTGAGAGTACTCATCTCTGTGTCGAGATGCTCAGAGGAAGTGAACTCTCCGTGCACCAATTCACAGATCGAGATGTTGTCAACAGAGTTATGTGGACTGGGATTTTTGGGGGTATTAGCCAAGATCATTTGGAGGAAACATATGAGAAAGAGAAAAAGAGGGCGGAAGCAATAGCAACAAAGGTTGGGGAAAAGAGACGCAAGGCAAAAAGGCCCCTGGGGAGGGACGACTTTGTCGTCCGGCTGAGGGATCCTTCGGGAAAGTTCGTTGCAGGTAAGGGGAATTACAACTCTTTCATTCGTCCGCCTTCTTTCTTTTACTTATTTATAATAATTATCATTATATATATGTATATATATATATATATGTATGTGTATATATCTATATATGTATATGTATATATCTATATGTATATGTATATATCTATATGTATATGTATATATCTATATGTATATGTATATATCTATATGTATATGTATATATCTATATGTATATGTATATATCTATATGTATATGTATATATCTATATGTATATGTATATATCTATATGTATATGTATATATCTATATGTATATGTATATATCTATATATATGTATGTATATATGTATGTATCTATATATATGTATGTATGCATGCATGCATGTATGTATGTATGTATATGTACGTATATGTATGTACATATATGTATGTACGTATATATATGTACATATATGTATGTACGTATATGTATGAGACTTCAGGTGCTTTATGGAGACCCTGTCTAACGCTTTGGGGTCTCAGTAGTCGGTTTCTGGACAAGAGGCTTCTCCACCTCCTTTGATCAGGAAAGATGAGGGTGTAGGGGTTTTCTACATTGATCTGTGAGAACAGGCTGTCGCGCAGGGTGTGTCCCCCTTATGAGCCATTTTAGATTTGGAGGGCAACATGGTCTCTGAGAGTGAAACCTCAGCAAGGGCCGACCGGGACTCGGAAGGACAAGGACTTGTGATCAAGGAAAAAGCACTGCCCCTCCTTCGTCCAATGATGAGAGATTGTCTTTAGGATGCGTGGCCAGAGTGGATGACTCTAGTAATGTTTTTGGGAGCTCTGGAGGGAGGTATCTGATGATGGATACCTAATCCTGATGAATTATAGTTGTGTAAAATTAATGAAGATGACTCTGCTTTGTAGTGATGCCAAAAACTTGGTTCGTTTTTTATGAATAAGAAATTGAAACAATTTATATTGGGATTCTACGCAAGTATATGTATCTTTATCAAGTAATACAAAATTTATGTTTAAGCCCTAAATATCGATCCCACGATGAAGGTTTACATTTGAAGTAGTAATTTAAATTAGAAATTTCACGATAATAAAGAAAATCTACTATGTTAATTGCAAATGTTTAAGGTTCTATCAAAATTAGATTATCAACTGCTAGCAATACTGTAAAGTAAAGTTAAACTATAACTACAAAACTATGTTTCTGTGATGAAGTTATTAAATATGAGAAAGCATCTTTCCCACCACAATGATTTTTTTATTAAATGAGAGAGATAAATGGTGGTTTGAATTTATATTGTGTCAAATAGGAGCAATTTTAATTATCTATCCTAAGTCAAGTGTTTGAGAGAATCATGGGCTAATATTAAGTTTAGTCTCTAAATTCGTGGTTAGGCTAGGAGAATATTGGGTCTCACTCCAGAGCTCCCACTTTCCTTCCCCTGAAGGCTAACTCTCGTTTTAGTTTTTAAACACTAAGACCAAATGGGGGCTTTAGCCTGTCACCCTAAAATCTCTAATCCTTCGCCCAATAATATATTTTCCTATTTATTTGCACCCAATTCCATGAATGAAACACTCCTTCATAGAATTGAATGTGATTCTCACTTTGTTGTAGAACACATACTTCATTTCCCGGATCATATGTTTCACAACAGATTTTAACATTTTAATTGGCCAGATCGAAAAATAAATTAAGAACAGAGTGAAAAAATCATCACAATTTATTTTATATTTTAGAATTGACACATCCAAATTATCTCTTCATTTCACCATATCTTAGAGTAGGGAGAA